TGCCACTGAGAAAAAAAAATCTGCCTAATGTTTCATATTTTTTACATTTTAAAATGTCAAATTTTAGTTGGAAATTTCAAATGAAAATATCAATTAGATGAAAAATGTAACGAGATATTAGGGGAACAGACCTGGTCAGCAATTGTTCAGTAAAATTTAAAAAAAAAAACACAAAAAAAACGCTGTATTTTTTTTTTTTTTAACTTGTATTTGTACTTGGTGGTAGCTTTATTGTCCTCTTGCTAGCTTTATTTGTCCCGCGAGTCCATAAACATCATGTCGCCTTCTCTTTCAGAACGCCCCTGTACTACGCGGGTGCGGGGATCCCTGGATGAAAAGAGCGAGGAGATCGGAATTCAAGAAGGACCATTACATGACCTTGGATGAAAAACAGAGAAGACACGAAAGCGTGCAGTGCGGCAAAGACGAGACAAAAATAAATGCAAATTTAGCTCGGTCTTATCCAGGCGTGCATCGTTTCCCGGAGACTAATTTGGCGGACGGATGCTCTTCGTAACCGTTTGCGCAAATTCGTCCGGGGTTCATCCCATTCCAAGGCCCGACTGAAAATTCCGATTACGCCAGCACTGAGCCGCCACTCGTGTCCGCACCAGCTCGTTATTGACCCAGAGAAAAGGGCGTTGCAGCCAAGTCCAAACGTGACGCAACTGGCAATTTTCTGGCCAGATATGTTCTCCGGCAACACGTCCAGAGCGATCAATTGTGTTGGGAAACCCTCAACACGGGACAACTCAACTATCGAGATTCGCTCGACGAAAGGTGGACCTTTCAGCGTTCGAACAAGTGATGATTCAACCGCGCCAAGGAAAGTTCAAAAAGAAATGGCAAAAAGGCAACATGTGTCGGGACTCGCATCACCTAGATACTCGTATCTGATGCGGGTCCTACTTGGAACCAATATACTAATCTCGCTCGCGAAATGAGGTGAAGTGCTCGAAGGTTTTGGACCGGGGATAGCGGCCGATTGCTTCGAAAGCTGCTTTACCGGTGTGGTATTAAAGCAAGGACAATTTTCACGGCGAGAGTATAGGTCATGCAGGAACACAGGAGCCACACTACATCTGCGAAGAAGAAAAATCATCGCTCGCTCAACGAGGCTCCCGAGGAAATGAGTGCGGTTTCACCCCGGCATTAAACACGGTCCCTGGCACGGAAACTGAACGTTGAACTGTCACACCGAAACGTACTAATTCCCGGTCGGGCGAGCAGCTTCGGAGCAGGGAGCGACCCTGGTCGCAGTCATTCCGGTCGGTCTCGGAGTCAACGACACGCTCTGACTCGAGGCTCGTGCAGCGGTGCGCCTGCTTGTCCCGCAGGAGGCCTGGTGTGGCTAGTCGCTAATCATCGCGTCCGTCCGCGCATGGAGGGGGCCCCGAGGCGCGCGCGGCGAGGGCCGGGCGCATGGCGTCGCAATTAGAGCGCCGTTGCGTCACCGTGCCGCGACGCGCAATGACAATGTGGGCCCGCTTCCGTCGCTGCCGTAATAGTCGCAAATTACACGCCTCAATCGGAGCAAGAATGCGGGGCATGCAGCCGTCGCTCAAAGTGCCGACGCCCTCGGCCGAAGGGAGCATTGACAGCTCCCTCGAGACTTCCTCTTTTTGCGCCCTTTCTCTCGCCGTCTGCTCCTCCGCCTGGTGCGGGTCGCCAAAGTAGTGGTTCTCTCACGCCTCCATCCGACGAGCATCGAGCACTACACGAAAACAAAACCGGCCAGTGACCGCCACGATGCTCCTGGCTATGTTAGGTATACTGAACTTGCAAAGAGCCGAGCTCGAGCACAATGAGGTACGAAACTAACCTCTAGACGCTGAGCGGTACTTACTAATGGCACTGTACCAAATGTGAGGGCACAATCGAGTTGCTAAAATGGGATCATAAGCTAAAATGGTATCATTGTATATTCTCCCAGCACATAGTGCGAGTGAGCGTAGTACGCAGGTGTCGAACACAGTCCAAGACCCTGATGTGCGTGTGTCTGCCGTCTGGAGGTTTTGTAGAGCATAAATGGAACTTTTCTTTCCGTCCAATACAACCGTAAAAGAGGGTTCCAACTCTTCGCACTTTAAAAAATTTAGCGGGTCACCGACCCTACAGCAAAAGATGGACGCACGATCGAGAAACATATATATCCCTTCTTTATAACTATTGCGGCAACAACGCATACCGCGAGTGTCGGTAGACGACGCGCAAGAAAAGGTCGCCACCAGTCCAAATGCACTCGGTCTTTTGGGCAGATTGACTTTAGAAATTCAGAGCCGCAAACGCAGCACCGCAACGCCGGCGAATTTTTCTTCGCTTTGCGGGCGCCAGTGTCCAATAAACGACCTTGCTGCGTGAAGCACGCACACACAAAGGTAGTGTGTGTTACAAAAGCCGCGGTTGTCGAAGCGGGAAATATCGGGCACAGACAACGGCCGCCGTTACTTCACAGACGGCGGCAGAAGATGCGGCGGAAAGGGCGAGGCATGCGCCCACGAGGCCTTAGAGGGGGGAAGGGAAGATAAACGGGGCGGCTTTCGAGTATCCGAGAGCCTGCGCTGGAGAACGGCCCAACCGAGATCGCGCTTCCAAGAACTCCCCGGTGAAATATGGGGCGGGCTCAAGCGCCACGGCGGACCGAACTTCGCCCAGAAACGTCTGACAAATCGGCGAACGGGTAACGACACAACGGGGGCTGACTTTGAGTTCGCCACGTTCTACGTCAAGGTGAACGTCACGGGCCTCGTCGCAACGGTTAAGGGAAAACGCAACTTTGACGCGTCAAAACAAAAACACCCAGAGGAAAAGGCCCGCATCCTTCCTCCTCAAACGTCACCACTAGTGGGTCCACGCAGCACCGCCTAGCTCGCGTCAGCATCGTCGACAGCGTGTCTTGAACCGAGCGCAACGTCAGCACGAGACGACACTGAGGCCGTGTCCTAAACTTTGTTCACTCTTACCCGAGGATAAGGATTTTGTTCCTTGCTGTTCTAAAACCTACACGCGTCCAGCGTTTTCCATTCTGTCTCGTCACGTGACACGACCCGCCGGGGTAACTCGGGTCCATTTGCGTAAGGTTTGGAACACAGCCCAAGACGGACCCGCGTGTCGCTCTGCGGCGTTTGCCCCTCGGGGCGGATTCGGGATCCACAAACGATGACGTCACGGGTAGGCCTTATCTTCTAGGCGGTACTGGTCCAACTCATCTTGGCGGCAACAATTTTGAGGCTAGAGCTTTACCAACTGGGCATAAAAGTAACGAGTTCGTTGAAAAGGAGGATATCCCAAGATTGTTCGCTCGAGTGACCCAAAAGCTGATACTTTGTACCGCGACGGACATTCATCGCGCTTTCTCCGCTGGTGAGATAAGAGAAAAGCTCACCCATCTCCTCGCGGAACCGGTCAAACGCTCACCATTGTTTTCGCGCACTCGGACGAAATGTCATTCAAGGAGTAGTCACTGGATTATGTTTGTGCGAAAGCCTGACGCGCAGAATCGCCTTCGTTTGCACGGCCATAATGAAACATACGTGTAATGCTGGAGCGCTGGTTGATTATACGCGCGTGTCTGCGAGTGGAAGTGACGACGGCAGCGTCACGACGTCGTACAGGATAGCCCAAATTCAGCACGAAAGGCCACTTCGAGAAGAAAATATACTAGATAGCACGGTAGCGGCCGCAGAATAAGGCGCTTCTGTGTCCTGTACATCCGCCTCTCTTCAATTGGACGTGTTCAACTCGAGAGAGGGGGAACCGAAAGCCCGATCACCGGCGGACGTTGCTTGTAGAAGCGTATGTGAGAAAGTGAAGGAAAGGATCACCCTCGACTGAAAGTTGCCGAAACAATGTGCTAAAAAAGAATATTGTCTTTCTCGTGGCGCGCGTCTAAGGAGAAAAATAAACCGCGGACAAAACGTAAGACGCACAACCGTGGGTGCACAGCGCTTCAAAGAAAATACTGTAAGAAACGAAGACGGGAGCGAGCTTCACAGAAGACAAGCACGGGATTCGGGCAGACCTTCCTGAAACCAATTACCCTCCTCCGCAGAAAAATGCCGTCCGTGGAACGATTCTCACGCGCCCCAAATGCGCTCCCCCCTCCATTCCCATTCCCTAACAAAAATTAGACCTACACCACCACCGCGGTTTCGGTGCCCGAGCAAAGTGCAACAAGTCCGGGCCACCGCCGTCAGCGTCGAAGAAACATGGACGAGGACGGTCCCCCAGCAGGAGGCGTCGTGCATGCAGATAGCGCGCAAACAAGGGCAATAAAAGCCGTCCCCCGCCAGTAAAACCTCGGCGGCGACCATAAAAACCGGGGCTCCCAAGTCCCTTCGCCGAGGGGGGACTCTCGCCGGCTATCGAGTTACACCGCAAGGTCGGAAACCCCGCCGGAGCAGTCGAGGGGCCGCGACGGCCCTCCGGGCTCCCCACCACTACCCACGCGGAAATTCTTCTAGACTAGATCGCCTGCCATGTCTGCTCGGCTGCGTCAGGAAAAACAGCGGGCTTTCGGCGCGCAAAAAGGGAAGCCGCCCTCGAAGAAAAGGACAGTCCCCGTGCGTTGTTGGTGGCAGACCACGGTCCTAGAAGAGCCTTTCGAACAACGAGCTGCAAACGGTTCGGAACGAAGTAGCGTCCATTTTTTCTTCTTCTTTCCCCTCGGGGTCTGCAGTCTGAAAAATGGCCGCCGTTCCAATTAGTCGCGAGGGACGCCGACACAAGAGGGGCCTAGGGGTCCACAAATATGGCGCGCAAAACTGTGGAGAAAGAAAGTGTTTACGGCCAACGCCCGCTTAACTCGCTAAACGAGCAACTCGTGCAAAGGTTATCACTTTACTCGCATCTTAGAATGTTTTCGAGAAGTTCAAACGAATGCCACCAAATGAAGGCGGGTGCCTCGTGATCTTTGGCGCCAATCTCGGTGACTTAGTGGAGCGAAGCACGAGGAACGCGACGTGCTGTGGGTGATCTCAAAAACTCAAAATGTGTCTCACCTAAAAGTTGCGTGATCCATTGGATGAAGCAGAGAAGGTCAGGTAATCCAAAATAGAACCTTCTTCCTCTTCATGAACTCTGCCAAGAGGAAAGGAAGCGAGCGTTTAGTGAAACATCCGCAAAACCGTCGTGCAGCCGCAGTCAAGTCAGATGCACATGTAGCGACCTCGTGTGCGATTTCGCTGTTACGGCTTTGAGCACAGCAAGTTCAAACACGTTTTTTTTTTTCTTTTTTTTTTACACGAGCGACGTTGAAATCGCGATATCGCAAGTAAAATCGCACCTGTCAAATCAGACATCGAGGCTGAAACACATGTCCGAAACACCATCCAAAATAGCGAAACATGCCAACATTATTTCGCGCTAATTTTATGTTTTATTTTATTTTTGCACGCAAACCGCAAATACGGTTTTTGTTAAAAGCGAATTAAGGACGTCCTGCACTGCAAATACACTTGTTCGACGTAAAATGGTTTGGTAGTGTTTTTTCGAGTTCCGATTTTCGCGCGTATATTTTCGGTTTCTTACATGTGTTCCCACCCTCAAGCACGAATCTGGATTCGTGCTCATTGTAACATGAAACACTTAACGCGGAGGTCATCCGAGACTCTCAAGTTATGGAAAATACAAAGCAGGCATTAAAAAAAAGTTGAAAATTACAAAAAAAAAAGTGCTAATTGTGAATTTTCTTGTACTATCCAGTCATGGAAGCGGCATATGACCTTTTGTTGCAGGTTTTGTTGCAGGATATTGGGTTGTAGCAGCCACTGATGCTTTTAAAGCAGATGCCACAATTTGTTAGTACATCACTTGAGAATGAAAAGTGATTGCATCACTAAACGAGCTTATTTATGAGAATGCTCCCGGGTTCATCTCTGATACTCGAGCATATAAATTATTACCGTTTGTGATAAGAACAGATAGGTCGTAAAAGGAACGCAGTCTTTTTAAATAAGGCTCTAGTCACAGTGAATGTCATTTACAATGGGTATTAAAAAGTGGCTGAAAAATTAATCATAGCGCAACACTTAACTGGGATAAACCTTGTCTTCCCTCCCCATTTTAAAGTCGGTAGTTTGTTTAGCCCGCGAATATAATTTCTGCAATGCCAGCAACAATCAGCATAACCCCCTAACGCGTCCTCCAATAAAAATGCGTTCCGTAAGTTGAATGAACCTATCAAACTCGAGACTTTAATATCATAAACTGCCAAAACAACCACCCACAAATAATGTAAAAGCCTACGCTCACGCTTTAAAGGCGACACTGCTTTTTAGCGGCGTAGGAACCAGAGTTGCGTCAAAGTTGGCTCGTCTTTCGATCTACAGCAGCACGGGGACTACCGTGACCAGCGTATTTACTCAAATATACATAGACACGTGTTTTTTTTCTTTCTCGTTTCCTGTGCGCAGTTTCCTCTTTTTAGAGAATAACTTGCCATTAGGACAAAGAAGGTCGATCGGTAATAATCTTGAGCACAATTTGAGTGCATATCGCGCTTTCTTATTTTAAAGAATAACTTAGAATTAGGACAAAATAGGTCGATCGGTAATAATCTTGAGCACAATTTGAGTGCATATCGCGCTAAGCGAGGCGCTCCCACAAGGTGAGTCGCTGCTCCTAGCACTCCGGTGCAAAGCGGCGAAGCTCGACGCCCGCACGCTGGTGAGAGGCGGTGAAGGTTGTCGCGAGCGGCGCCACGGTACTCTGCAGTCACAGAACGAAAGCAGGTGACAGACGCGATGACCGAGTGATCTTGTCAGGAGTACAAGACCCTGGTTTTGTTTTATCACAGTAGACGGAGCAATCGGCAATCCCACTATTTTGCAAAGTTTTCTCAGGACTCCTCCTGACACTGACAACGCCGTCTGAAAATGTAGACGATGTCGGCGATCAACCAGCCAGCGCATCAACCGCGGTCAGAGCGGTTCTTTCGCGGCATCAAGGCGCGACATCGTGGCACTCGCCATTTGATTGTACGTGTCCCATCGTCGGCTAAACCAATAAGCTGCAGCGAATGTCCCGTGACTCGCGCTTTTAGTATGTGTGTTCGTGGTTGTATGTGCTCGAGCCTTCGACTGTGCTCTCCCCTAAGATGACGCGAACTATACGATGAGTATAAGACGGTTTAAAATTCATATTTGTACAATTTTTCTTTCCTTCAACTTCTTTGAATATTAAAATCGACCAAATTAATAAAATATTTTTAAGCTTATATTGGCCCAGGTGTGGCGCAATTCTTAGCAAAAATGGCATTTTGGAGCAAGATATAGCAGACTTTCGTTCATGGTCCAATTCGGCGCAAATGGCGCAGCACTTCTATCACTGATTCTTCCCCTGTAAAATATGTATATCACGAGCGCACAATATAGAGATTGGCTTTGTGAGTGTTTTGCGGGTAAATAGACACCTGCGCTTCTACTTACCCGCAAAACACACAAAGAGCCAATCTCTACGATCTAGGAAATCAGCTCAGCGAATGATGAGGCAAAACATCCGTTTAGACCTCAAAATGACGTCGGCGCTGTGGGACTACGCAATGCAAATCGTCACGCTTGCATTGCGTAATGCCACAGAGCAGACTTAATTTTCAGGTCTACACAGATGTTCCGCCTCATCATTCGCTGAGCTGATTTTGTAGATCGCAGAGATTGGCTCTTTTGAGTGTTTTGCGGGTAAGTGGACGCGCAGGCATTTCTTAGAGTGTAGACGGCAGAAAAAATGGAACATGAACCGCTGGGTGTGACGTCATACTCAGAGGTTTTGGCTGCCTAGTGCATGCCGCATGTGAGGGAACGCGGGCAGCGCTTTTAACAGCTCGGGTAAGGCTCGCGGAAACGTTCAGATCTCCGTAGAATACGTCATGATCCCCGCCTCCACCGAACGCGATGGCTTCATCGCTATTTGAAAAGCGCTGTTTCGCGTACTTGACGCATCAATCGGAAATGTAATTTTGATGAAGATTAATTAAGCTTTTATTTTCTCAAACACAGAACCGCTTCACTTTCACTTCAACGGTGAAGCACAAGCGTGAAAGACCAACTAAAACTCGCACGAAAATCTAAACATACGAAAATTGTTATTCTCTATTCTCGAAAAACGAGGGTACTTATTGCAATGCACGCAAATCGCACACATGACATTGTTAGAAGCGTACTTGCGAGTTTTGTACGATTAAATGATAGCGCTTAAGGTTCGGATTTTGGAAATTGGTCAGGAAGTATTTTCGTCTGTTCTGAACTTCTCGTGATATTCTACTATTTATTTTTCTTTGAGCTTGGGTTTAAGCTTTTGCTCCTCATTTTACTAGAAGAGTGTAATGTTTCGCCACGAAAATTCAACGTGGAGACACACACTGTTAAGGGAAATTTACGAGTCACTATACTCGTTGTCACCTCAAAAAAAATGCTAGTTTTGCGCATTATACTTACGCCGGGCGATGTAGTTCTGCGCAGTAACTTTCATTTCAGCGAGCCACTAGAGCAGACAAGTCCACTCTAATCAAACGGACCCCTGGAGAGCAAACACAATCACATAACAAGCAAGCGGGAGCCACGTGGTCGAGGCGCATACTACCATAAACAAGCCAAAGGCTCGGGCCAGCAAACCGGTATTCGCGGCGGAGGTATTCCGTAAGGACGCCACAGTCGTGCCCTACTAATCATAAACAAGGCGCGATGACCAAAGGCAAACACCGAAAAGATCACAGGACTACATGTTTAAACCGTATTCTATCTCAAGGGTTGTTCGTAGACAAAGCATTTGGCGAAATGCTGGTCCGGCTACTTCGACAGTGCACGCGCAGAACTACAATCAGATGGGACAGTGCACTAAATGAGATGGGATATAGAATCACAGTGTAAATAGTTTTCGACCGCTGCTTTTCGGTTTGTTCCAGGTCCAACACACTGAAGTATCTTATAAGGGTGTTCGGTAGATCAAAACCGAAAGATGAAAATGGCAGAGGCATTTGCGGATCCGCGAGGAATTCTCGGCCAGTACCTCCTACACACACGAATAGTTGACATGCGACTCGCAGAATATAGCAAACAGACGCCGCACGTACAATGGTAAAAGGATCGCGACCCTGCAGGTAACCAACCACTCCTCCGCGTTGCATGCCGGACAGCTAAAAGGAAACTATTTCGTTGACGATGTCCGTCCTTAGCAATGTATAGGGTTACAAACATGCCGACGTTTCTCGCTCATTTATAACATAAAAGATAACTTCTATTGGTTCGTAACACTTCTTAGTACGCAGACTCAATCACCTCACGAAACGAGGCATTCAATCGCGGCGAATGAACAACCGTCCCCATATTAGTCGAGTTCGCCGTGGGAAATAGGCGTCAAGCCATGTCAGGCAGAGCCAAAACACAACTTGAGGTTCTTCGCCCCAACGCAAAGACAATGCAACCGCGCGCAACATGCCCAATAGTGTCGGTCGCTCACGAAGAGGCAAGGACGACGTATTGTTGTCGTGCTTCGGGAGGGAGTGTTCGGTGGCCTACCGTTGCCCGCCAGCAGAACCCGAAGCGAAATAATCATCGGCGGCGAGCCAGCCGGGCAGGCAGGCGGACGGGGGCCTCCCAGAGGCATGCCTCTATTTGCAAGTTATTACTAGGCTTTCCTCGGCGGAGCGAGGACCTGACGGGGCTGGAGGCGAGCGTCCGCGAGTCACGATCGGGCCAAGCGCAGTCACGACGTCCGTTTCGGAGCCAGCAACCTTTTCCCAGGGTGAATTACAGGCCCGAGCGAGACCGGAGCGGCCCGAGAGGCGAGCTGCCTGCCTGCCCGCGCAACCCGTAATGATCGCACCGAAAGTTATTGGGCATAAAAAAAGAACGGCGCGGGGAGGGCGGCCGCGCTCGAATCCTGTTTTCCTAGAGATTTCCGCCGCTGCGGTCTCGGCCGAGAGGGGAGCGGTAAGTTATGTGCCGACGCAGCGGCCGGCCGGCGAGCGCCGACGTGCGGTAAGCGCGTTTGTTTGCGGCAGCCTTCTTTGTTCGTGAGGAATGCCACGCCGAGCAGAAAGAGGCGGATAATGGGGCCGCATGAGGATCCGCGCGGGGGCCAAT